CCTGGTCCCCCCCAGCTGACCTCCCTCCAGCCTGGTTGCCCCTAACTGCCCCCTGCCAGCCTGGTTGCCCCCAGCTGCCTCCCCCACTGGCCAGGTCGCCCCACACAACCTGCTGTTCAGTTGCTTAGTTCTCCCTCACTAACACCAGTGCCGGCCTGGTCGCCCCATGCAGCCTGCTGCTTAGTCGTTTGGTCGTCCTTTACTAATGCCCCTGCCAGCCTGCTCGCCCCACGCAGCCTGCTGCTCAGTCGTTTGGTTGTTCCTCACTAACCCCTGTGCCGGCCTGGTTGCCTCATGCAGCCTGTTTGGTTGTCCGTTCGGTTGTGATGGTAGCTTAGGCATATATAAGGGGGGGGGGGGGGGGGGTTTCAGCCTTCTAGTAAGAATTAATGCTACTGGATGCAGGAGAAGAAATGTAAGTCGCTGATCTTTCGTTTGTGAAATCACATGCATTTTACATGCTTCTCACCTCTTTTATCTCGAGGGCACAGTGTTCCTTTATCAACATATGCAATTTAGAGTGTAAAGTTTGTGATTTTTTTTTCTATTAAATTATTTTTCAAATACTACCATTGCAATAAGGAGCCAAAATAACCAGCCAGAGATGGAGCCAACTTATAGAAGAGGTAGTTACCTTTTTAAAAATAAGATCTGCACATATATATATATATATATATATTCCTAAAGATTTAAACTAAGAACTTGTAGAACTAATTCAGCAAAGTTGCAGGATACAAAATAAACATACAAAAAAATCTGCTGCTGAGTTAGCTAACTTACTCAAACTTCCTGGGGACTCTGACCAACTCTGTGTGCCCATCTCCCAGCCTGTGTTTCCGTCACTCACCATGGCTCTCACAGAGTGGCACCAGGAGGTACTGCTTGGTGTTCATGACGGCCCTCACGGTTAATAAGCTGCTGCGCCTTGCTACAGAGGAAACTGGATTGGTAGATAGGTAGACTGAAGAGGGACAGATGTAGATGTAGACATGTAGACGATATACAAATGACTGGACATCCTACCATGCTGAGTGGCAGTTTTTTCTCTCTTGTTTGGAGAGAAAAAATTAGCCTTAGTTTTTCAGTAGACTGACTGACTGATGTAATCTCCCTGGGGGAATCTGTTAAGAGCTGAATTAGCCCTGGGCAGAGCAATACAGGTCATGTGGTCCACATGACTCTTAACATGATTGAGTCTCTCCCTGACGGCCTTTTTAAGCTGACACTATCACTTAACCCCAAAAAGAGGGCAGCAGAGAGATGAGCAACAGTTCTGTTGCTAACATCAGTTCTCACTAATCAACAGAGAAACTGCAATGTGATATTACCTCATGCTTGTTAGAATGACTGTTATAAAAAAGACACGAAATAACAAGTGTTGGCAAAGATGTGGAGAAACGGGTACCTTCGTGCACAATTGGCTGGAATGTAAATTGGTGCAGCCACTGTGGAAAACAGTATGGAGGTTTCTTAAAAAAAGTAAACATAGAACTACCATATGGTCTGGCAATTCCTCTTCTGGGTATTTATCCAAAGAAAATTAAGGCAACAACTTGGAAAGATACACACACTACATGTGAAGATATATGTATCACATGATTGTTTACATGTATGTATTATAAATAATCACTGCCGCACTATTTACAATAGCCAATACATGGAAGCAACTTAAGTTTCCATTAATGAATGAATGTATAAAGAAACTGTGACACACACACACACACACACACACACACACACACACACTGGAATATTATTCAGCTCTGAAAATAAAATCTTGCCATTTGTAAACCATTATATGTTCATTTCTGGGAGTTTAGGAATCTGACGTGTAAAATTGCATGTACGTTATTCCGTGCCACACTGTTTTCTGACATTTGCACTGGGACAGCACACTGGTGTCCATGAGATTTACCCTCTGCCAGCTTTTCTTTGGACTCATTGGTGACTGTCCTTTTCATCATCAGGGTGCTGTTTAATCTCAGAATTCCAAGTGGTGTGTGTTAAGTAGAAATGAATGACAGCCTGTAGACAGCCATGCAAAAGAGAACCCCTTTTCCCTATAGCATCTCTCGAGTGTACAAATGGAGCATGTGACCCAAGGACATCACAGGAAATCCAACTCATGGTCAGCCTAATACCTGGTTCATTTAATTTATAATTATTTTAGATTCGAAAATTTACCCTCCTAAGTGCTCTGAAGAGTGCTGTCTCATAACTGATTACTTACCTTCGTGCCATTTCTGAAGTGCTTCCTAAGTCCACTGAGAGGGTCAGCCCATCTTTTTATTTTTCAATTACTATGTCATTTTATTTCCTTAGAACCCCTGCCACAAGTCACATCAAATACTGCCATGTTTGGGCCATCATTTTTTTTTTCTTCCCTACCACTTTTTCTACTTGCTAAATTTTATAGGAGATTTTGCAATTGATATTGCAACTGTGTTAAGAAATAGCTGTTTAAATATAGAATGAGAAAAATCCATTCTACTTGCTAACATAAATGCAATCTGCCCAAGACAGAAAACCCGAGATAGGTTTAATGTGTAACAAAACAAAAAACTGCTCCCCAAATCTTTTATATGCATTTACATAATATGCAAATGCTAAGAAACAATAAATAAGTATAAATTTGGTTTGGAGCTAGGAACCACTATTTGGGAATGATTCTACCATTTAACTGGGCTAGAAAATTCTACACCTCCAACTGAATATCTAGTAGCTTAATAAGAAATCCCTCATGAATTATAGACAGACCTTCCACAAGAGTGTTCACCATAGAAATGACAGAAATGTGTGCGTGTGCACGTGCACCCACATACCAGTAACAGCATTAGAGTATCTCTCTTCTGGCATAAAAGAACATCTTTAAAATGATTGGAAGTGACTGGGGTTAAACGTGAACATTAAAGTATAAGGAGCAGCCAATGCTATGAAACACACAATCTGGATTTTCTGGGCCACTGCAGAGGGCTTTCGACACAGGGAATCAGAGGGAATTGTATAGACTCTGAACTCCTTGAGGGCGGAGAGATTTATATTCCGAGCCTCTGACCCTTGCACACAAATGTCAGGTCAACCAGCAGTGTGCCCCCAGGGCAGCGTGCTCTTGCGGGCAGGGGTGGGGCATTTCATCACTGACATCTGTTAGGATTGCTGGTTCATGGTGATAGTAAAGAGCAGTCACTTTAAATTAGTTTTATAATTGTCTTAAATTCTCAGCAGAGAATGCAACTCTTGTGTTCTGACCCTAAGCCAGCGGTCACCAACTGGTGGTCCGCGGACCACTGGTGGTCTGTGAGGTCTGAAAGGTTGGCAACCGCAAGTTGCAACCCCAACCCCTTGTAAGCAAGTGCCAAGATTGTCAGTGTCTATTTCTCTGGGATCTCCCACCACATAAAAGCCCTGTAGTGACACCAGCTGACACATCAACTGGGAGCAGTGTTTGGCGAGGGCAGCACAGCCAGTCACTCCTGCAACAGGGCCAAAGAGCATGTTGTTCATTGTGACCTTGTACCATGCTGGTTTTAACCTCTCTGATTATGGGACCACTGTGGCCACACAGATGAACTCCAGCTCAGAATTAGGGAAAAGATGGCCCAAGTGTGTGATCAAACATGGACCTCTCAGAATGAGAAACTGACCGGTGGGCCAAAGTCTGGTAAACGCACACACGTGTTCACCCCTGTGTTCTGCTGGGGGCCTCCTCCTCCTCCCTCTGTAGCCCCCTGTACCTGAATGGTACACACCCTTACAATAAACTACAGAATGTCTGGGTTAATTTATTCTGCCATCAGGAAAGGGCTGGACTTGGACATCAGTCCTAAAATCACTCTGAGGCCTGATTCTTCTGCCGCTGGATTAGACAGAACACTGAGAGGTATGAGTTTTTCAGACAATCGAACATGTGTGCACCACTGGGTGGGAAGCTGGGTTGCTTATCACACAGATCGTTTGTCACTGAGCCAAGTACTCCGAAGGGCTCCATCGTGGGCAGTACAGGCTGCTGCAAGGAACTGCTCCCTCTCCAGCCCAGGTTGCATTGGTACTTCCCCCCCTCTCTCCTCTTTTAAGGTTAGAAATAGCTTCCATGGAGAGGGAAATAGGACACATGCAGCAACAGGAGTCTGAGGTCAACTGAAAAGACCTTTGTTAACATAGTAATTTCCATGTTTGTTTGTTTTTTTAACATATCAACTAAGTTTTCTTTTTCCTTAGTTTTGGGTTCATGTGGGGTAGAATACCATCATTCACTTTCTTTAGTGGCAACCGTTTAGCTGGCACAGGCCAGCCCAATGTCTTGCCTGCATGGAAACTTAATGTAGAGTAAACTCAGAAAAAAGGTAAGTAAGGAAATGTGTCTCCTCTGACCCAGCAATTTAGCCCAGCGCAGGTGGACAAGGCTGGCTTGTTTTTGGACAAAGAAAGTAAGGGGAGCTGGTTAGAGATGTGGGTCTTACATTCTGAAATATCAATCAATAGCTGTCATGTTTTATCCTGTACTTAGGTCTAAATATTTATTCTTTATTTCTTATCCTTGAATTATTACCTCTGAAATCATAATCTTGAGAACCGGGATACACACAAAACTCAAAACACAGGATCACATGAAAAAGAATGATGTTGATATGTTAATGTGAAGCACTCCTTGGCCGATGTATACTCATTTTTTTCTACACAGCAAACCAAATTATAGACAGGAAGTTCTCACCTGGAGTCTTGAAGTTCCTCAGCTGGGAGGGAGTGTCGTAGACTTCAAGGATCCAGTCGCCAGCAGCTCGTTCTCCCCAGCAGTGAATAGTCATGAACTCCCAGTTTTTAAATCCTTCCATGGAGTGGTCAAAAAGCCTGAGGGAGAACCATAAAACATTGTTTTATCTGTTATTAATCAAGTCACTACCGTGATGGATGATCTTTTCAAATCCATCTGCCTGTTTGTCTCAAAACTGGAGGCTATATTCATCCTGGACATCACTGATTAGATCCAAACATGTATCATTCATTGTTCTCCCACAGGGAACCAGGCATGGGCTGGCCATGCAATCGCAAATCTAGAAGGCGCCACCACTGGGGAATCAGGGAAATTAGGTGAAGACTTTACCACAAGACAGATTGTCCCACATGTTGAAGATGTGGTGCAACTGGCACTCCTTACATTGCTGATGGGAATGCAAAATGCGACTGTTGCTCTAGAACAGGGTCTCGGTTCTTACCATACAACTCAACAATCCCCTCCTATATATTTACCCGAGAGACGTGAAGACATATGTCCATGAAAAGGACAACATGTGAATGTTCAAGCAGCTCTATTTAAGGCGGTCAAAAGCTGTTAACAACTCAAATATCCTTCAACAGTGATAAAAACGAATGAACTAGTAATACCATGAATGAATTTCAAAAGCACTAAGGTGAGTCAGAGAAATCAGACACAAAAGACTACATTCTAGAAAAGGTAACAAACAGCTCAGTGGTTGTTGGACCTGCCAGGGAGGTGAGTGGGGTATGGTGGAGGTGTTAGGGGTCATGGAACTGTTTCACATTTTGGAAGTAATGGTGCATGGTTATACAACCATATAGATACGTTAAAACTCACTGAATTGGTTACATTAAAAAGTGAACTGTAACCAATTTACATTGTATGATATGTAAATTACACTCGGTCAAAAGGCTGCCTATTAACCTTCTCCAGTTCAGGAGTCATTCCTCAGACTCCAGCCTAGACTTTGATCTTCCAGCCCTTCCAATGAATTTTAAAAAACATGTTTTTATTGATTTCAAACACAGGAAGGGAGAGGGGGAGAGAGAGATAGAAACATCAATGATGACAGAGAATCACTGATCGCCTGCCTCCTGCATGCACCTTCCTGGGGATTGAGCCCACAACCTGGGCATGTGCCCTGACCAGGAATTGAACCATGACCTTTTTGCTCCTGGGTTGACACTCAACCACTAAGCCACAGCCACTGGGCCTAGTGATTTCCTAAGGTTTTAATTCCCTACATGAAATCCTCTCCTACTAGCATTGATCTGAGCTAGCTAGTATTGTTTCCTATGATGTAATGCTGAGGGATGCAAGTAATATGAGAAAGTAAGGAAATAAAATCCTCATCAAGATGAAAGAGAAATCAATAGATCATGTGTAAAACTAGCACATTGAGAAATCGGCCTATCATTTATATAGGCATATAACGTACATCTGACTTCCTGAATACACAGCCAAAAGATTCCTGTGGAGATGGGGCCCGGAAGGTGGAAACTAAAAGATGAGACAAGTGACAGATATTTTCAAAGAACTTTTCTTTTTTAAATCATGTGCATCTATTATTTTTATTTTTTAAAAAAAGAATGAAATAAGAAAAATAATCTGAGGGCCAGAGAGGTAGACAAAGAGGGAAATATGTCTAGCACTGTTTTAGGAGCAGCAATGTCCAGTTCCTGGGACATATCTATCCTTCAGTGGAGACAAATGCAAAGGTTATGGCGAGTGGATGTTGATGGTGATTTCATGTTCACCAAGCAAACTGGTGGTTATGATTGGACATTCTATGTAGTTCTTCCTTCTGGGGTAAAATGTGCCCTTTTAATAACAAAAATCTAGTTTACTCTCCTAACAACATATTAAGATTCTAATTTTTTTTTTTAAAGCATAGTAAAGAGGCTCCTTCTAAAATGCCAGCTGGATTCAAAAGCTGCAAGGTTGGGTGACACAGCTGTAGGCTGTGTTAGGTAAATGGCTGACACTTTGCAGTATTTCCAGGAGAAAAACAATAAACAGGAATATGACTTGCTGCATGTTCCTGAGCCCTTGAAACAAGAAAAATAAAAATGATTTAGCAGCATTCTCTCAGTGTCCCATGTCAGGAACTCTGGGAAAGGCTGAGTTAAGGTTGAATAGGTTTCCTTTCTGGAGAACATCTCAGATCTTTGGGATATTCAGGTATGTCATGGGCATCTCCACAATGGGGTTACCGATAGGCAGGGATTTTCAAACCTTACATGGGCACAAAGCCCCTTTCTCTCTTTAAGAATATCTGTATGCTATCTGTACAGTTTAGCTCTGAGCAGAGAGGGGTCTGGTATTTCAGTGAGGACCTCACTGGGTCTGGCCACTTTCCCTCACGATGACCGGGATGGAATTAGTGGCTCCTTATATGAATGTGTCCGCACCTGCACTGGATCTTCTATGCAGTCAGGATGGTACATTTGATGGGGATCCTATACGTCATGTGCTACCAAAATAGGGCTCATTTTACAAGGTTATGGCTTAAAACTGGACTTGGCCAAGAAGAAATTGCTGAGTCATTACAGAACTGACTTATATACACAAGAGTTCTTCACGTTAAACCCAGAAAGTATGCATGCTGGGAGACACAAAGATGGGGGAGAGGAGCTTTTTATGTTGCCTTTCCTGCCAGTGACACTTTATTAAAGGGAATATGTTGACACAGAAATGGACGGAGGCGGAAAACCAGTCTAGAACCACTTCCTAGCCCACAGTCTAATTTAGGCTCTAATTCTGGTGGCCATTGAGCCATTTGAGGGCACTGAAGCAACAACTTGTCACATCATACCTTTCTAAGAGTGCCAGACTTCAAAGCAATTCCCAAACAGTTTAGACAGAGCATCTGGCTGCTTGCCTCACGTCCAAAAACGACAAAGGAGACCGAGGCTGCTGTCGCACGAGGGGCCGTCTTGTTTCCACAACCTTGGCCAGCTTTTCATCCTCCCAGGTCAGCTGTTTGCCGGATTAGCAGGCCCTCTGTTTCTTCCCTTCCACCCTTTCCTGTCCACCTCTGCAAACCGTTCCGTTGCTTTTAATCACTTTTAAATCACGTTGGAAACAAAAATTAAATATACACCAGGTGCCAAGAAGACATGTTCACAAATCAGCATTCAAACAAGTGTTCCAAAGCTCGAATATAAACAGGCTTTGTCTATCTGGCTCACCAGCTACCCCCTGGTCTCCTCACTTTACACAGAGCTGGCACGATCATTAATTTCACGGGAACATAAAAGCTGAGGAGAGGAATTAAAATGAGGCTCAACTCAATCATTCCATTTTGCTAGAAGAGTTGATGGGGAAAGAGACAGACACTGATGGCTGTTGTTTCAACTAGCTGGGCATTCGGTGTTCTAACTTCACCCTGTCTTTTATTCTAATGCTGTTCCTTGTTTATTGCACTGTACCTTTTAAAAACACCACATCACCTGCACATGACAGGAAGTCATGTCGCTAGTAGACTAGACTTGTGTTGCAAAGAATGTACTTGCTCAAGATAATCCAGTGTCAGATGGTGGACACCTACCTGCTAAGGAGATTCTAACTGTGTGGTCTCTGTATAGCAACTAAAAAGTCCAATGCCCGGTGTGAATGCCTCTGCTGTGCCATCAGTGGAGAAACCAGACACATGCCAGCATCTTTGGTGTGGGGAAGACACCAATGAAGCAGGGCCAGTATGCAGCAAGCTGGAGTAGGGGAACTCCAGGTCCGTATCCACATCTCCTGTTGTGGTGAAACCCTGTCCTGTCAGAGCTGACTTCCTAATAACATGCTCCACGAATGGCGATGTGCACATGGTGGCAGAAATGATGCATCCGGTTATTAAATGGTGCCCCACAGCCCTATCCCTGTGAGCAGTTTTCAAATAAGTTATTTTGGATGAAGCCTGGTAGTACATTCTTGTGAGGAAGTAACCCAGGAAATACCTCCTATAATTACTGTAAGCTCCACATTTTCCTATGATGTTATGGCAATCGTTTAATAAGATGTTGTATAAATACTGACAGCTATGTGTACAGAATTATTTCTAGAATTGTAAATGGATCTTAATTTCAGAACTATACCCTAAAAAACAGTATTTATGTTCACTATAACAATAGACATTAGACCAATATTTTTGGAAGTTTTCTCTGTTTTAAAATGTCTAAGTGCTTCATCCCAATTTAAGGTAGAGCATATATAATGCTTAAAGCACTCATTTGTCTCAATTGCATTTTAGTTTTTTATTTTCTTTAGCTACTGGCTTTTGTAAGTTTTAAATAATTTGTTTCTGAAACAGGGTATTGAAAACACACTATTAGGTCTTTTTCTCTCTAACCTAAATCATTTATTTAAGAAAGGTTGAGTGAAAGATACTGGTTCTAGAGGTTTTGATTACCTAAAAAGATGAGTTTTAAAAAACTTTCAACATGCCTACTATTACTAACTTATTCACCAACCCCAAAATGCATTTCTTCTTGTGGGTAGGTATAGGATGTAAGTACTTAATCTTGTGAAGATTTAGTCCATTTTATAGTCGATGGCTTTTATCGAAGTATCTGCTTTATATTTTAAACTTCTCTGTAAATTACTTGCACGCAGCATTTAGCTAGCACATACTGCCCACAAGTCTTCTGATGACACGAAAATAACAAGAACGTGTACAAAAAAGCTGGATTATCTCTTAAATCGATGCTAAAGTGTGGTGTGTGGACAAGCAGCTTCAGCATCACCTGGGAGCTTATCAGAAAGGCAAATCCATGGACCTCACCCCAGACCTCCAGATGACAACCTCTGGGAGAGGGGCCAGCCATCTGCTTGACTGAGTCATTCACCAGGTGCGCGGAGAGGCGCAGGGAAATAAAGGCTAGCACTTACTAAGTGCTTACCATGCCAGGGGCTGTGCTGAGGACTTGCTTTACGTTATCTTACTTAATGCTTGCAACAACCCTGTGAGGCACACACTCCGAGGTCTGTTTTCCAGATGAGAGAATCACCTTTTCCAAAGTCAAACATAAAAACTGGTGAAGTCAAGATCACCCAGTTCTGGCTAATTCTAAGGCCAGCCCTTCTTTTGAATGAAGGAAGAGAGTTCTCACAGGGAGGCCTTACTGAAATGAAAAAATTTCACTGCAAAAGTATCATTTGTACTGCAAGTCACAAATGCATGTATATAGCACGCCACTTTACAAATGTCCATAGTCTGTTGTTGAACATGGGGAAAGGGCAGCAACCAAAATGATTCAAATATAAACACCACACTTAACCATAGTTCATGATAGAAGGCTATAGGTTTTGCAGCTTAGAAAGTGCACCTCCTCTGTACGTAAGATCCTAATTAGAAGCAGAGATACTCAGCTGTAATCAAATTTAGAAAGGGAGGCAAAGTTTCAGCTTTCTGTCAGAGGCCAAAATTTGGAACCTAGAGAAAGGAACTCTAAAACTCAATGAGTTGGGGGAGGGAGGTTCAGGGGAGGGGGAAGATGATGACAGCTTTTTGTAATTCTCAACAAGTGCAACTGAAGGAAGAATCTGATGAGACATGCTTTGGTTTGAAAATTTTTACAAGGGCAGATTGTGAATATCGTAGAACAAAAGCTCCTATCTAAAGTTGCTCTTGTCTAAAAACATTTTCAAGGCATCCCAGCTGCCCTGGCTGCCCCCGCGGTGCTAGATCTCCACATTCTCCCCAGAAGCAAACAATCTGTGGCGATCATTTAGCTCGGCTCTTTGTTAGGCAGGGCGTACAGGCCAAGAGGGGAACCCAAAGGGTGGGAGGGCAGGGGAAACAAAGGGAAAAGGAGGCACTGCCGTTTGTCCATTCGGGGACTCCTCTGTTTACTCAGGGCTCCCACCCTCCCACTAAATCATCCACCTGGCTTCCCAGGGGTGCTCGCCTGCTGGGCGAATGGGGTGCAAGCTCAAGTTGGACTGGCTCTGAATGCTGCCAAGTGCCTTCCAGGCTCAGCACCTGCAGATGCCTGGGTAA